ATTATTTGGAGAAAACTTCGCGAGGACCCTTTTCCAACTCGACCCGGCGGCGACGCGATCGATTCCGAGAGACCCAAAGTTTCATTGCGAAAGTCTGATCGCGTAAAAGCTCTTTTACGAGCAGTTTAATACTTGGAAGCTGCTAAAGGCGCATTCGCGTTTTCCTTTTCTTCGCCGTCGGCGTGTAAGCGACTGCAAACTTATATCGAGTCTTTACGGTTTACACAGGATGGACATGTATTATCGTCGAGCTCTTATTAAAACAGTTCGATGCTCCCGGAATCCTGACTGTTTAATGAGCGAGCCAACGACGGAACGTCTCTCTCTCTCTCCCTCGCGTGTTCCTGCGTCATACGAATTAATTATTGGGAAATGAGACAATTATCGGAAGACGTTCGGCAGATAATCGCTATACTGAGAGAAATTATCGTCATCTTCGGTCTATACTATGCTCTTCTTACAATTTTAATTACAAAAATAATAATATATATAAGGTTATTATCGCTAATACCATAGTAACACTTACCAGAAAGCAATCCTCCTAATAATGCCTTTACCGTTATGATTACAACTACAAATACTAGAGGTGTGCGAATTGTTCCAGCTCGAATCGAATTACCGTTGATTCGCTTCAAGTTCATTTTCGAATCTAATCGGTTCGAATTCGAACAGCTCGATAATGTTCACTCATCGACGGTTCGATTTAGAATCAGTCCTCCGATCGCGTCATTTATATCGGAAAATGATGAACGAATAGATATCATTGAGATAAGAAACTGGTTCTTCCAAGTTAATTTTTTGTTACTAAAAAATTATGTGTGCAAGAGTATTTTTTTTTGCCAAGTAATTTGATACGATTCTGACCGTAAAATACGGATACCTTGTAAGAAGTGGACACGTAGTTCGAAAACGTTATTAATACACGGCTTGTGCGGAAGAATTAAAACTAATTAATCCCATGATTTCTCAGATATATCATGTACATATATACCAGCTGGTGAAATATGATTGCACACATACGTATGTATTTATTTTATAAACTCTGCACTTTTGCGTCTGACGTCCGTTATTCAAGCACATCCAAGATATTCGATTCCATTCGATCGTGCGGATGTTCGATCCGCACACCTGTAACAAGCACCAAATATCTTTCTCTCGCTATACATTAACACGACGACACGTTATTAGAAAGACGTAAACGCTCCGCCGGAGTGACCGGCGGCTCGGTAGTTCCCTTATCGCAGATCCGGCACGCGGCCTAAAGATTTAAGCTATTTCGGTAGTTTCTTGGCCGGCGACATCCTCAAATTATACGGCGACCGATAAAACGAATCCTCCCGCGAACTTCCCCCGAGTCGGGACTTACGACAGAAGCCTCGGGGGGGTGTCGAGAATGCCTCCTCCTCGTTTAAATATCGTCCTCTAATCTCGCTGGCCTGAACACGCGCTTACGCCCCCTCTCCCGGTCCACCCCGCGCCCCCGCCTCCTCTTCCACGTGCCTTAATTCTCCGAGTGAGCGTAAACTTCGGGGCCCCGGCTGACAAATCGCCGTAGCCGCGGATTATCCGCGGACGAAAAACTAATTAAGCCGAAATACCGCAACCGGCACGCGGAGGAGGAAGAGGATTCCGCCCCGGCTGCTTCGTGCCTTCGAACATTTCGACGAGGTCGCGCGAATGCGACGACCCTGCCGCGCCGTCCGCGGCGCATTCGCGCACACGGAAGTCACCGGGGAGGTCGGACCTCGGTGAGCCCGACGCCTACAGCTCCTCGGGACAAAAAGCGGGATCGCCGGGGCTCTTTGTCCCGCCTATCTAAATAGTTGTCGGAGTCCATAAATCCGGCCGCTTAAAGCTGATTCGTGCTGCTCGCTTAACCCCCTTTATGCGCGAGGGGGTGTACACGTCGGCGGGGCGGCCGGAGATCCAAAGTCGTATCGACCACTGCGCGATTAACGAAAGGAGGCTGAAACAGCCGTTCGCGTTTAAGCACCAGTCCCGGCAGAGAAGCTTCCCGGGGACCTCCGGTAGAGCTTTAATATTTCACCTCCTAAACTTCAAAGTGCCGAAAATGTGCGGTGATCGATTCCGATAAGCGATTCCCGATAAAACGGTGACGACGCTTGTTTGGCGATCACGCTCGTAACCCTCTCTCCTCGACATTTTTAAATATCGGATATTTAAAAAAGATAAACTACGCGTGATGAAATCTCCGGTCAAAGGTCAACTCGCACGCTGCGAGCGAGAACACGTGTTCTCTCCGCGTTGACCGATTTATCTTTTCGGGAAATCCCCCCCCTCCCCCCAATCGAATGGTGATTTCTCCTCCTACGTTCTCGATTTCCTCGTCTCGCGGACATATTCGGTCGTAGTGATTCGGTCATCGCGTCCGGGAACAGTCTTGCTGCGTTCTCGCGCGAATTCTTCGACTGGCTTCGACGGTCCTGGCGTAGCCCAGAAACCGCGAGCTATCGGACAGGAAAGCGCGCGATAGCAGATAACCCGGAAGAGATACCTACTCGGAGGGAGCGCCTCCGGGTCTCGCACCTTACTCTAAGTACACCCTAAGACGGACTTACCTCGTTGGAGATTAAGCTTAAGTCCTCTCGGCGAAGTGTCGCATTGTCTTCGTCCTTATCGTGGCAATTGACTTCGCCGCGTATCGCTCGTACGCGCGCATCCGGCGAGCCGTGGCAAAAAATACTTCACGACGGTTTCCGAAACGCGTCGACCGCGGCAATTCTCACCGGCCATTCCTCCGCTCTGATTGGGCAGCCGCTGCTGCGCCGCTGCTGTTCCGATTAGTTATCGTCGATCTCGAGCGGAAGATAACGCCGTAATTTACGATCGAAATTTATTCTCCGCCCGGCGTGTCTCGACGCGTCTATGTGGGATCTTTCATCGCCGGCTCGTCGTTATTGTGATCTTTTGTCTTTTTCTCTCCTCATCGTGCTGCTCTCTCTCTCTCTCTCTCTCTCTCTCTGTTTCGAACGCGGAAATACGCGAAAAAACGGGGTTAGTAGCTGGCGGCATTATCTTGGCGGAGCCAGAATCGCGAGAGAGGCGCAGCGAAAATAAGTTCCTGCAAGATGCATCACGTCAGGAGGAAGCGGGCCGCACGCGCACCGACTTTATGATGAAAGGAGAAGAGAAGGAGTGAAGGGAGAGAAAGAGAGAGAGGATAGCGAGAGAGGAATAAGGAGAGAAAAAGAGATGAATTTTCCTCCGTCTTCTTTCCGCGCCACTAATAGAAGTGTCACGAGCAGCCCGGTCTTATAATCTGTTCGTGCTAATTTCAAACCGCATCGGGAACACGAGGGCGTTCGGACCACAGTTTTCCCAGATTTGTCGTCTCTCGGAAGCTTTTAAACTTTCCAAACCGCTCATGGAACTCGTGATACGGGATTCCTAAAAGTGCAGAGATTAGGGTATCCCGGCTCATTCGACGTCTCGGCGCGGCTCAATGGCTTAATTCCTTATTTATTCTTATTCTTTACGATAGTATGCAACGTGTCCTCCTCTTTATTCAGTTTTGCCGGTTACGATTTGCATAAATTTTCTCCAGACGCCCAGACGACCAATTCGCGCACTGAAAAAACGCCTGCCGTTTAAAAGTAAAATTTATTTGACCCAAGTAAAATGTTTATCTCACTACTCCTTAGGAAAATATCTGCTGAAAGTGGAAATATAATTGACTATAATATGATATTTTCTTCATGTGAGATATTTATTCATATATATTAGAACCATCGCGACAAATATGAAATTCATAATAGTGAAACAATATCAGAAATTATTTTTAGGAAATATTTACCAGAGAGAAAAATCGAAATTTAAAACCACTAAATTCCTTCAGTGTAAAAGAAATACTACATAATTCTAATAAATATTCCCTTAAATTTAGAAACATTACATTTTACATTTACGTTCAGTTATTCATTCACAAATTAAGATATTACTACGTTCGTATAAGCATTTGCTACAAACTATTAAAATATATTTAAATTGATAAAGATATTACTTGATATATATATATATATAAAAGGCCGAAAAATATTTAATTACGTTTCTTGATTCTACTTGATTCCAGCACATTCTTTTTCCGTGCGTTAAATAAGTCTACACGAATTATTAACCAGAAAGATTTGCTCCGCTTTGAAGTTTCCGAAAAACTTAAAAGTCACGCACGTGCGCGTGTATCCACGTTACACCAAGAGGCTACTTTCCTCACAGTAACATAACGGGCTCTTAAAACTATTAAATTCGGTCCGTTAAGCGCACAACGCTAAGAAAGGTTCCATCGGCAGTGGATAATTAAAAAGGTAATGAGTAAGCGGATACTTTCAACGGGAAACGGTTGCGCCTTGAACATGATTCGACAGTCTACCGATGAAATAATGACGCGGACGAAAAATCAATGTTCTCCGCGTGTAGAGTTTCTCCGATATCGAGAAAAGCAGACCATCGGCACTAGCTATCGTATCTCGCGAGTGCAATAACTTTAATAACAACGGGAGAGCAGCAAATTGCAAAAAGAATTCGAGTGTGCGGCCCCGAACTTTGCCGCAGCTCGATAGATCCGGCGCGTTACACTTTGATGTGGCGCGGAAGTTCGGTGGCGATCCTCGAGTGAAAATTAGAAGGGAATTTTTTTCAAGTTTAACTTCAGAAAACCACAAAAATGCGCGAAGAAAACAATAAAGTCGGTGCAGAATGTGTCGATATTAGCATAAATAAACAAGAAAAACGGAAAAGAATGCGCGCGCTCGAGCGTTTACGCAAATTTAAATCCTGCCGAAAGCCTCGACTGCTTGTCCAAACAAGCGACAGTAGTTTTACACCCCTGTGTACACCGGAACGATACACACTAGAAAGAAGAATAGTTTGTTAAACGGTAAGAATGTTCAGGTTTGTGCACGTGTCCGGGAATTGATATTTTTACCTTGGGAAGTAATCGCTCGAGGTACGATGTAACGCAGAGGCAAATAACGAGAGAGTCGTTCCATAATGTTCTTTATTTCGTTCGCTTCTAAGCTGAAACTCGCACAACGGTAGCGCCGACTATACAACGATAATTATTAGACAACTTGTTCGCAAAGTTGATACTCGCGTATACGTACAGTATGTTACAAGAACTTAGTTCCTCAAACGCGAACGAGATTAAAGTGCGCGACACGAGTCGCTTCGCACAAAGCTTGCCCATAATGAGAAACTTCCTCTTCCACTCTTGTGCCGTCTGCGTTTTCTCGTTTCCTCTTCTTCTTCTTCTTCTTCGACAACTTCTCAACGCGGATCATGCCCTGCATGCTGACCCGCGAAGATGAAAAACCGACGGACGATTTCTGCCGAATATGCGAGACGGTGTCTCGCGACGAGCGTTTTTCTAAAACTTCAACAATGACGTTCCTCTACTAACTCTTCTAGTAATTAGAAACAATTCAAATGTAAATTCAATCGTGTGCGTGTGCGTCCTATCGGACGAGGAAATTGTGATTTACAACGAAACGGGTAAACTTCGTAATTAAGTGCCGCCGTAAGTGAGACAAAATGTTAACGGTAATCGATGAGAATACAAGAGCGGAATAATTGTTCATATCCCGCGTAATTTAGGCAGCACGCTTCGAGTTCGTCGGAAAGTAAGAGACAGAGAGAGAGAGAGAAGTTCACCGTGAAGAACGGGAATTTTCGCGACTTCCTCGAAGTACATCCAAGATTATCCGGACGCACTTAACTACCGTATGCGGAGAAATCGTTCGGGGAAAGCGTTCAACGTCAACATAGCCGAGCGTTGTACACTCGCCAAGAATTCGCAGAGATCTCGTTATTTGCTCTCCCGGTTACGCTCGCGTAGGAAAACATTCGCCTCTCCGCGTGATCTACGGAACAATTTGATTTCTTTTGAACGTCACGGAAAATATTTTTCAAATCCCATTTGCCCGGCGCGGTGTCGCGGGATGCAGGAGAAAAACGCGCCTCGTTATCGGCGCGGGAGAATCTCGCGTCCTTTGTACTTGATTTTTTCTTTCTTTTCTTTTTATTTCTCATTTTCGTGAGAGAGAAAAAGAGAGAGAGAGAGAGAGAGAGTTAATTTGCCTATACATCCGACGCGATTCCAAAGTTCCCAACAATCCGTGCGATACGACGGTGCCGGTACAACGTTATATTGGCTTGATACTTTCGTTAGACTTAAGCGTTAAGAGAAGCTCGAATTTAAGTGATAACGCACTCATTATACACTCGTCTTTTTGTTCCTTTTCCTTGGTTTTATTAATTACACGGTTATAAGCCCATAGGGATTACGAATTAATGGATTAAACGCATCGACGATCGGCGTCGGCACGCGCAACTTTTCAGAGCCGTATTATCCGTGTATCGTCGTCGATTACTAAATGAGCCTGTCGTCGGGACGCGGATCGGGATCCTCGGGGTAACTTTCCACACTCCTGATGAGCTCCTTTGTAACGCCCGAGCTCCTGTTTCGCCTCCGTGGTGGCGTAGGGAAATCCCCGGCTGCGTCCTCCAAATTTGGAAACAATCTGACGGGTTTCTCGGGCGCGTCTCCGATCGCGTTGCCCTTCGCCGGGCCGACATTGATATCACCGACGAGGCAGTGGAAGAAGTCCGATTCAAGGTCCGACTCGACGAGAGAATCCTTCGAACAGGGACTCGTCGCCCCGTGTGTATTCACGGTCGCTCCCGGCTCCGCGGCGTTCTTCACATCGACCTCCGTCATGGGCTTGTCCTCCCAGGTACAAAACGACACCTTCCTCGTTTTCGACGTTGACTCCGTGTCGCCGAAGATCTGTTCCAACGACACGGACAGACGGTCCGTCTTATCCTCGGACGTTCTACCGACTAGAATGTCATCGTCGCTCGCCGGACGATGCTGATCCATCACAGTTCTGTCGATCGCGCTACGCTTCTCCACCGACGGCACGATTTTCGGCTCGAGGAGCTTCTCCACGAGATTCAGAGCCGGTTTCCCGTCGGCCTTCTCCTGCCGCTTGGTTACTTCGTCGGGCTGGTCCTCCTTCTCCAACATGTCCGAGAGTGCCGCCTCCAGCTCGGTGAGGCTCGGCGTCATCGAGCTGAGATTACTCCCTTCGGCCGCCTCGTCATTCAGCACCTTCAGCAAGGTCGTATGATCGTTATCCAAGATCTGAGCTTTGATCTTCGGCTCGGGGCTCGGCGGTGGCGTCTTTACCCGCTGATCCTGGCAATCCTTCTTCAATTTGTTGCTCGTATCCTTGGCGAGCTTCTCGTCGAAGAAGTCGACGATCTCCTCGTCGACGCCCTCCAGCATCTCCTGCGGCAGCGACTCCTCCGATATCGTTCTGATTAACTTGTCCGTTACGTCGGTATGCGCACGCAACTCCTTCGACTCGTAAGGATCGTCGTACGGCTCGCTCTCGTTCGACAGGCTACGGCCGAAGATCAGCCTCGATTGGTCGGATCGATCGGATTCCCGGACGACGGCGCCGTTCCTGCAGGACCCGCCGATCGTATCTGCCAAATGGAACGTCCGCGGTTTAACTAGTCACGTACGCGAATAGTTGGATACCTTCTACACTCCAGACGATTAGCCGACCGGCCAGGATAGAATCCAAGAGCGGATAAGTACGCAGAGGGAGGGACGACGAGCACGCGCGTTCTCCGGGTTGCGGTCGGGCGTATATTCGGTTTACATAGTCGGCGATTTCTTGTAAATAGGGAGAGGAATTTCACTCATCGTCACTTCTTCCGCGGACCGAGACTCCTTCTTCGTGCCGTTCTCTCTGGGATTTCACGGGGTCTCCCGAGCGCGCGGAGAAATTGCAACGAGATTTCGCGCGTCAAGTCGGAGGATTCTATGCAATTTCGGGGACTATCTCTATTCCGGGACTAGAGATTAGAATCGTATTTTATCAAGTCGGCGGTAGTTAAGGTGGCTCGAGAGCGTTTGACAAAATATTCGATAAATCTGCGATATATACGGTGATGCTAAGGTTAATCCGAATTACTAACAATGCGTAACGGAAATTTCTCAAGTCTTTACCGTGTCGTATCCGGGAAATGTTTATAAACGTGTGCAAACATAGAAATCTCATAATACACCAAACTTCTTCCTTCAAATTCGACAGGTGTGTGTGTAAGATGGAAGTTTAAGAAAAACTATTCTGATATTAAAGACTAATATGCAAGTATTACAGACATATTTCAGTATTATTGACCGTTTCGTCTCTGAAAATACGATGGGAGGTTTATAATTTATAGTAATATTCAAGAATAAATATAAATATATAAATGTCAATATATATATATGTGCATACACACGCATATACATATACATATGTATGTATATATAAGTACATATTTAAATATATACTTCTTTTTATTATCTGCTTTTCTACCAGATCAACTGATGCACAAATATGGCATATATATTAATAAAAAAAAGATAAAAAATAATAGTTTCGTATTGTAACATTGTGAACGTATATTTATCTCAGCTTCGTTTCAAATTAACATTTACGATTCGATGAATGAAATAAATGTGTAAAAACGAAATTTTGCTTCACAAATAGTAAATTTATAAAAGAGACTTCCTGATTGCTACTAGGATACGGCACTTAATGCTGCCTCCTCAAGTTCTTTTCTCGCAGTCAAGATTTCAAGGACGACAAAAATTATAAATTAGCCTCCAACTACTCTCTTCAACCGGGAAAGCCGATTCTACCGATCTCTTTATGCACACATTGCGGAGATTTGTAATAATTTCATACGTACACCAGATTTCCCAACGCGTCTTAATAAATTGTCGATTTACCCAAAGCCGAGCGGTGGAGGTCCTCGTTCAGAAAAAATGGCTCCCTGCGAACTGGCGATGTCGCTAAGTCGGCAGTCGGTGGCGCTTGACTAATTTCCACCATCGTCGGAGGATCGAAGTGCTTTAACGATCTATAGAAAAAAAGGAAACGAAGCAGATTGATCGCGCATCGTCACGTCTGTGTATCGACCTCTTGGGTAATAATTGAATCGCGCGTGGGAGAGATACGGCGTCGATCGCGATACCTGCTCGGATCTGCGAACCAATCGTTGGGATCTTTGTCGGAATCGAGCGTCGGCGACGGCACCATGCCGAAGGATTCGGGCTTCTGCAACGACAGGGTCATATCTCGGGTAACGCACGATACTTCGAGCTCGGTCGTCTCAGCTTCCCCGGTCTCGGCGTTTTGCGGATAGTCCACAACATCCGCACCCTTAGAGAGTCCTCTCTCCGCGGGCTCGTCGTCGTGGATTTCGATTCGCGGCAAATTCTGCAATTCAAGGGACATATGAACAGACGCGTGAACGCGCCTCCTTTCTCGTGACGTTTGCTTCCCTCGATCGACTGTTTAAAGCGACTGCATTAAAAGGAAAATATATGAAGCAATACTAGACTTCTGCGATTTTCAATCTCACGTGTAAAGGCTGAAAATCGCCTCGTAACTCGAAGGAACGGTGCAGCATAGATCGATTATTTCCCTAGAAGTAGGGAAGCGACGCGCGCGAGAGATCGAAAGGATCGCGAAAATCGCAATTGTCTTCATTAGCTCGTGGGGTGAAACTCGTAGGTGACCTCGGAGCGCGATCGAGAGGCGACAATTTCGCGCTCTCGCGGATTGGTTTTCTCGCCTCGGAAAAACAGCGCGCGCCACGGCGCTTAATATCGATTTCAACGCGGCTCCGCCGGTTGTAAACCGTACCTCGACGGAGAGACGCCGGTTCGCCGAGTCGCAATTACTGATGTCGCTGAGGTCCCAATCCTCCAATTTACTCGGATCGTACTTCATGAATCCGCCGTCGGTGACCTCGTTCTCGCTGCAGCCCAGCTTACCCAGCACCTGATACGGCGACAGATGCTCGACGCTGCCGCGCCGCGGTATGTAGTCCTCGAGGCGCACGCTGGTTTTCTACGATCGAGATGAACGTGAGAGTGTGTAATCGTGTTACTTAACGAGAAGGAAGAAGAAAAACGTAAAACGAAACAGCTGGAGAAGAAAGTCCGCGGGAAAGACAACGGGCTACTCCCACCGCGTCTGTGCGGAAATCAACAATTTAAAGTGCGAGAGCGGGATGTTAATGTTTCGCGCGAATAAAAGAGATCAGACGGGTCGCGGAAACATTTCGAGTTTGATCGCGAAATTATCATATATTATGTTAACCTTGATCTGGGCGACTGATTTTAGTTGGCGAGCCTCGTTAATGGCTAACGATGCGTTTTTCCCCGCGGATTTCCCGCGTGTTCGATCGTTTCGAAACATGACGGGGAGGGGGGAGGGGGGGGGTTGGTTATAATACTGAACCTCGGAGAAAGGCGATAGGAAAGATTCGGCCGGAAGCGAGCCGGTGCTGCTTCGGACGGGTCTCTTCGACTTCATTTTCTCCCCCGCGCCTCTCTCGTCCTTCGTACTCTTCGCAGGATGCCTAGACACGTCCAGCTCATCGTAATTCGGCAAGCTAACGGTGCTGTAGTTCTTCGTCCTTGTATTTGCTTCCGTTCTGTCGTCGTCCCTCGAGGGATCCCTGATCCGCTTCTCGAGCTCCTTCGAGTTCCGTCTGTCCTGGCGATTAGGAGTCGAAGAGCCCTTGATCGACTCGCTCCTGGCGAATCTCTCGTATTCCTCATTCTCGAGAACTTTCCTGTGATGGTGGCCTGGCTCCGAAGTTCTCGAAGTTTTCTTGTCGGCGGACGTTCGCCTGCCGGAAACCACGTCGCTGGATATTATCCTTCCAGTGCCGTTAACCTGTCGGGAAGTCATTCACGTTCGTTATCGAAGTCGCGAGGAATTCGCAATTAACGAGGCCTCCTGGCCCTCCTTGCGTGTGTTTCTCGCGGCTCACGCATAGATTCGACGATATTTCTGAGGAACAAGAGGAATTGGCTGGAGATTTTTCAACTTTTCATTCCCGATTTAAAATGAGAAGTTTCGCGCCGCAGCTGTGCTATCCCGAGTCAACATTTCAACCCCACATTGAGTCTTCAAGTAGAGAAAACAGAAATAAACTTCCCATTTGTAGCATCAAAGGTGCGTTAATAATGCTTCATTGGTGCTACAAAGAGAATTTAGACCTCTCGAGGGGAAATTTCAAATTCTACATTAGGTCTTTAAATGGAGAAAACGGAAAGAGAACTTACCATTTGTAGCAGCAAAGGGGGTAACAATAGAAGACCCTTGAAGATCTAATATAGCGCTAAATAAACTTAATGCAGAACTGAAATCTCGGAACATCTCGTTTTCTCCAATTTTTAGATAAAACGACGGAGAGTGAGTAAAAAAAAAGTACAGTTTGAGTTTACAGTTACAGTTTACATTAGAGAAGACGACTGATATTTCCCAAGTCGAGATTTTAGTCTTACTTTAAGCCTAAATTAGTTCTACGCGAAGCGTTGAGAGATCTTCCATTGTGCTCCTTCGGCGCTACAAATGGGGAATTTATTGCCGTATTTTCTCCACTCGAAGACTCAAAGCAGAACTAAAATTTCGACCCCGGAGGGCTCTCCCTTTGCAACATTAAAGGAGCACTTATTGCGCTCCTCTGATGCTACAAACGGGGAACTCGTTTCCGTTTTCTCCGCTTGAGGACTTAATGGGGAATTGAAAATTTCGACTCGGGAAATTCATCGCTTCTTTTATCACGCTTAATTTGCAGGGGACGCTTCATTTCCCGCGGCTCGAGAAACCCCGCTCTCGACGGGTGAAAAGAGGGAGGAGAGGGCTGACTCGCCTTGTGTTCGTAGATCTCCCTCGTCCTTCGCCCTTCGTGCTTCGCATCGTCCGCGCCGATCCTCCCCGATGCTCGCGTCTCGCCATCGCCGCTCCGCTCGTCGCCGCTCGTCGTCGTCTTCGGCGACTTGACCGACGGCTGTAACGGTTCCTCGCTCGTCGAGCCGCGTCTCAAATTGGCGGTTACGTTCTCAGGAATCTCGTCCGGTTTCAGTGGCAGTGGTCTGCCTCTGTTTATCTTCTTTCGCCTCGGAGGTGGCACGGGAGTGACGTTCTTCGGATTGGAACCTGCCGGCAACGGACTCCCACGATCAGGCCGCGAAATCGTAACTAACTCCCGCGAGAATAATAGGCGTTGTGCCCGATACGCCTCTTTGTCACCGGCGGCACAATGACGGGCCGAGCCGGGCGCGAGTTTAACGACTTTAATAATGTTTAACAAAATCGGCTGGCCATTATCCGCCCGCGCGCCGTCGTCGCCGACAGCAGCGGCGGCGGTATTAACGCGACTCGTTAAAGATCTATATAGTAGAGCGATAAATTACGGGCTTACGCGCCCCGGATGGGGGACGGAGGGAAAAGAGGGCGGCGTGCTGACGGTTAAATTTGCGCGTACCGGCCTCGCTCGTCGCTGGTGTGTGGAGCTTCTCTCTCTCTCTCTTTTCCGTTACCGCTTCATAAGTACTTGAAATTGCGTTCGAGACGCGCGACAGAAAGCTAGCCGGTGCCACGGCCGAGAGACTAACGGATTTTTCACGCGACATCGCGAAATAATTTTAACGCTAAATTAGCGTCTCATGAGCGCAGAGAGAGAGAGAGAGAGAAAGAGAAAGAGAAAAACAAATTATTCGTTGGGAGATCAGCGAGATTCGATGGTTCCCAACGCGTCACTGCTGCTGCACTCCTCCGTTAATTTTGTTTTCATTTCGCCCCGCTCTCGGTTTATGCACTAACTCGATCCGCCGGCCGTACAATCTGACGATAAATTACACGCTTACAGCTGGACGTAGGTGTAGCGGCGGGATACGGACTAGTGTCGACAGTTAAATTCGTGAGAACCGAGCTCGTTCTCGGCGGGCTGGGCACTTCCAGATTAACGTCCACCCAGTCGCTAGGATGAAAGGGCCTGTCCACGGAGTCTATGCTCCTGCCCCTGGTGAGCACCTCCCTCGGCGGCGAGCCGGCGTATCCTATTTCGGAGCTGGGGGCAGAAAAGATCGAGATATAAGTCGCGAGATCCGCGTCTCTCGTCCGAGTATAAATAACCAGCGCGAAACGATATCGAATTTAATACGCGCGATCGATCGCACCGGCCGATACACGGAAATCCATTGTGACGCGCGCGCGGCTATCAGCCCCCCCCCCTCCCCCCGGCCACCCGGCACTTCCTCCCCGGTGCGATACATGGATGCGAGTAATTAAAAAGAAACGCGGGATATCGCGTTCATACGCGGTATCCGATGGATAGATGTATACTGCCGCTCGTAACAATGTATCGGAAACCGGAGGATGAATTTTTTATCTCACAGCAAGGGATCGAGGGGTTATAAATAATCTTCGAATCAGGTCGGGCGAACTCGTGACCTACGAGCCGGACGTGCGACCAGCCAGGTGACTTTTTGCGCCGTTGATTGCATCAGTAGAAGGAAATCATTGAGTCACCTGAGACCCATTCAGTCTCTGCGGCCGGCAGTGCAAGAGTTGACGGCTGACGAGCCGCAAAAAATCATGTTATGGATCACGGCTTGTCCCAGACCTGCTTTACCACACAGAACCACGATGAAAGAACGAAGTGCCACATTCGAGTGGATATTTGCTAAGGAATGTTGGAGTAATTATTATTTCACTTGGATTAAGTAAATGGTATCACTAGAATGTAGCATACCGAGAGAAAAAAGATGCTACGTTTAAGTAACATTTACTTAGTTTGAGTTGAAACAATTACGCCAATATTCTTTGGCAAATATTTGCTTGAACCTGGCACTGTTTTCTTTCAGTGCACGATCGCTCGTAGAGGAAGAAGTTTCGATAAAAGGCGCGGCAAGGTAGAGGATCGACCGTTATATGGTACACGCGGTTAAAAGAAAGCGCAAACAGAATTACAGAGTATTATACGCGGTTAAGCATTGAGTTAAAATCAGTTCTTGTTGGGAAATGTTTATATTAAATTTCTTATTTACCCGCGTGTTAATTTAACATATTGTGTTTATGTTATTTTATGTCGAGTCGATATTCAACGTCTATAAGTGTTAAGATAAGACATCTTATTCTTCTCAGTATCGATTAATATATTGTGGATATTAATTTTTTATACGTTTCTGCTTCTTTTCAATGTATTCACCTTATGTTAAATTAACAAAAAATTTGTTACAATATGTTAAATCAGCACACGAGTGCGTGTGAAAGATTTAACGAAAAAATTCGAACAAAGACCAATTTCAACACAAGTACAAGATATCTTTTACTGTGTAAGGTAGACTCTTTTTGTTCGGAAAATCGCACGAAAGTGGATGATGTACGAAGTAGATCGTCGTGCTTCCTTGTTCGATATCGACTGATATAATCGATCTGCAAACCCGAAGATATTCCAGCTCGGTTAATCCCGCGGTGACGGTGCTCGGGGTACAATTTGCGTTTATCAAAAAGTACAGCTCGATGTACTGAAATAATCCGGAGTTGCGATACAATGCGGCGTAGCTTTATACGGTTTATCGCAAATGCATTCCGTGTTTCTTCGTGTCCCCCGAGCTATAACTCTTTCGGGACGCGAGACATTACTGGAATTTCTACCGTGCAGTCTCTTCTTCTCGCACGAGAGTACCTTTCAACTCCGTACAGAATACCCCCGGTGCCCGCGAACGATTTAGAAGTATCTACGAGGAGGGAGGAAGAATTCCATCGGTCTCGCCAGAGCGCCTCCTTTTGTCACTGATTTATTTACATCGGAACGTTGCATCAACGTAGCGTGACGTATCGTAACACGTGCGCAGTTACAGTACACAGGCTAATCCCGACTCACACAGAGCTTCTTTTGTCTTCATTACGAAAAGAAGAGACGCCGTTTCTCTTTCAATCTGTTTGTCACGATCATCGCGTATGCACGTAGGAAATCATAACAGATTTCTTCTTTATGAGACTGGAACGATACGGGCGCGCGCGCTATTTAGCTGTTATGCTGCCCGGCAAAATTGGACCTTTTCTTACATCACAAGTGTGAACAGTGATGTGTTTTTTGCCTGGACGAATCCGTTGTCGAAATTTGGCTAAAACGACGATTTTAAGGGTTTTCATGACCCAACATCAGCAAGAAATGTTTTCTTTCAAAATTTCGTCGATGCCGCGCGAAAATATCAATTTTCAGCTTTAAAGTGCGTTTCCTTTCGGTAAGATTTTTTCGTTTTCGAGATATAGCAATTTGAAAACAGCTCTTTTCACATTTAGCACATGGAAAGAGAAGGTGTTTTACTCCAAATTTGCAACACGATAGAAACGGGCAGCTTCTTCCTTTGCTACATTGATGAATTTCATTATTTTGACGAAACAACGCGAATAAGACCCGACAGATCGAGCTTCGCCTTACATTTAATGCGCAATAATATCGATAATATGCGGGTGACGGTTGCCTGACCTACACCAACGTGGCGCCGGCATGGCGCATGACACGCGCAGTTTATTTACTATGTTAACCCCCCTCCCCCTCCCCCCAGCACGTACACACACGTATAAGCCGATGCGCGGCGTAATTTATGCCTCGGCGTGCGAGAATAATTTACGCGAAATCCTCATTCTCCTCGTTGTTCTTGCGGGCTTGAGTGAATTAAAATTCACATTGTCGAAACAATTCGTGCGACGCAGGCGGGGATTATTATAAACATATTCCCGCTATGCGCCGCTTTTACGAGATTAGATTCGCCGTATCTCCGCTTGTGTTTTTCATTTCGCGCACGTGATCATTAATACGCGCATCTATCGACCGTTCTCGCCGTACCTTCGGACTTTCGTGGACTTTCGCGTCTCGTCTTACCTCTCGCGTACCTCTCCTCCGTCTTTCGCACACTGAGAAGAAGATTTCTTCAAATTTAATCATAAATTTTTCATTGCATCCAAAGAACTTTCATCATTGGCATGCTGCAGAGAAGCTAATGTTCGGTTAAGTTTCGATTAATAAGTATGATTGTTAAGACTTTTCATTTCCGCTCGAAACGAAAGACAATTTTCTCATGGAGAAATTATTCGCTTCATTCTACACACTTATTGTGACCAGATAATATTTCATTTGGTTAAACGATATTATTTTAAATAATAGCGTTCTTTCTGTTAAATAATAGGCTTTGCTCGAATGAGACAGTATAATTTTTACCCACAACAATATTTCGTATATGTTGTTTCTATGAGACGAGTTTTGGTCAATAAATAAATAGAAACACTAAATCTAAAGAGACCTTTTCCCCCGCGCGGGGAGGAGGTCAGCGACGTTTCCGTAGTCTTTCCTCCGTTTTTCTCCTTAAACAGGCCGCGTTGAAATTGAAAGTCGCCCGCAACGGAAGATTAACGATGTCCAACGTTTGCATGACGTGGTTCGTTGCCGCTTACGATCTCTCAATAGTGGATGGTACTACAACGTTTCGCAACTCCTTGCCGATAATTGCCGGAGTGATCAACGGAGAAATGCTATTACGATAAACACGGCGGCTTTTCCTCCCTTAATTTCGCCTCCGCGGCTCTAATGCGAAAATAAACAGTACTATCTGCGTCGTTAATTACGGCCCGATGATAAACGCCAGTTCAACGTCAGGCGGCCTAACGGCGCACCGTACGAGGAATACATCTCGTCTCGGTTATGAAACTGTTATAAAATTACCGCCCCGTAATTTTACAACGTATGCTCGTTTGATCCATTACACGCGGGCCGTGTAATTAATAAATTTTATCAGCGCAACCTCCGCCGTTAACGACTAACGCACGGCTGGAAATCCGAAAACCGACGGTTACCGTCGGTCACGGCTCATCCCGCCGGTCGGCGGGGACGTCTGTTTAATTTCTCGACCGTGATCGGAAAATAATTTCTGTCGCTATAAAAAAAAGGAAAAGAGAGAGAGAGGGGGAAAGAAAATACACGTGACTCCCGTGATGAGACGTAGGGAGGCAAAGATCGATCGGAGTTAAAACACTGAGAGAGCGCTTAGTAAAGCTCTCGCCGTGCGAGCGGAAATTATTCTCCGGTCGCATCGAGCGTTACGCGAGCGCGATAAATATTAGTCCGAGCTAAAATACGGGGTGCTTCAGTTTCGGAATAATATTTGGCCGCATCGAGCTCTCTCTCTCTCTCTCTCTCTTTCTCTATCTCGTTCTCGAGGAGCGCTCGTTGCACGCGGAAACCCGTGAATGATCTTCCGCGGCGGAGCACCTGCGCGCGGAGTTAGCCGCGTAACTGCAGATCGTAATGCGATAGAATACGCAGGTATGCTTACGTAATAACTACACACGATACGTTTGACGACAATAAATTAGAGACATTAACCGGGCAGGCCGCGTGTGCGTAGCAGCAGCGGGGCCGATCACCCGTTAACACCGCAGCGGCGAGCTTATCGATCGGTCTAATCGTTGGCCCCGGCAAAAAAATCTAATTGAACCGGCAACCGGCGCGCACCGGCCAGTTGTGGGAGGGGCGAAGGAGGGAAAAAAAGGAGGACCGGAGAGAAAGTAGATTCCTTTGAGCTGCGTATAATAATTGCGAACGGCAAGGGCGTGCGTGCGCGCCGCGGCAATTCTCCGTGACACGCGTGTCGTGTCGGCGGCGGCGGCCTTTGCTCCACCGCTCGCGCGTTTTCCGTTTCCAGATTCCACGAAAGATTATCGAGATTAATCGCCGGCGTTTACATTGTCGGGGAGTTTCGAAGTATCGCCGCTACCGAAGATCGCGCCGGCCGAAATAACCGGGCGTGTTGCTCGCAGCACGCCCGGCGCGTAAATCTCGGATGCGAAGCTCACACGACCGGCGACTCTTAAAGCGGAATACCGGGCTACTTACCACAAGCGGAATTCATCTCGGGGGGACACGTACGGGTAGTTTTTACAAAATCAGAACGGTTTTTCGACACAAGCTGAACCACTCGTCGCGCGGCTCGCCGCGAAAAATCGCGGCTGAGATTTCCCAGCACAATTTCACGTGATTCCGTGACCGCGGCGGGGAGGAGTTCTTCCGATTTTTGCGATTCGCGCGTCTCGCGGAAATCGCGGATCTCTCGGTCCTCTTATGGAATTTCGCCATTTCTCAGGATTCGCCGAGGACTTTTGCACCTGCGAGCGAGCTCCGTCGTTCCACTGACCCTAAAAAGGAATCGAGCCGAGGTGCGCGAGGCGTAGGATGAGGGCGACCCGGAGCCGACCCACGCTCGATCATCGTCGTGTGTGGATTCACTGTCACACTGCCTAAAAGCTGCCTGAATATAGGATAAACTTGTCCACGCGGTATAGATCCTTCTTCACGATAACGAGAGGATCGAGGGGAGGCTCCGGGGTTTTGTAACATCCCAACCGATTGTGTCCGAACGTCCAAAAATACTCCTTATCGAAATTCACTTCTTTCCTCTTCCCTTACTTCCTTTTTCTTTTCTCTCTCTCTCTCTCTCTCTCCCTCTCTCTCTCCCTCTCTCGGTCGGCGCGTCACGATAACCCCGAGTACGGCCTGATATCATGCGACCCATTATATTATTATCAGGTGTGTACATTAATTCGGTGCTTTTAATTTTACTCACTTCTATGTAATAAACATTTTAAATCGAAATCTTTTCCCGCTCAATTGTGATTTTGAAGGAGCTGCCAGCTGCCGTTTACAAACACCATGATTGCTGTCGGTAAAATACGCATTCCATATTGCATTTCATTGGCATGCGTTTTAAAGCGATAGAAGACGTTTGAAAATCTATCGATGACTTTAGAAATTCAAAGTCGCCAAGTTTCAGTCCCGATAGAATTCGACAGCCGGTCGATAGATAGTGCAAAATCACTGACAACAACGGTGATTATTTCGATAATTAACGTTGCACCACCTTCCATGGATAATTAAATCTCGATGTTTGCTAACAAAACCCCTGAATTAATTTATATATCTAATATATATATGTATAAAGTCGTTTCTCAATAAATATATCAAAAGAGAGTCGCGAGCACCTTCCGGGAAAAATTCTCGGTGACATTCTCTCTCACGGCGAGATCAAGAATGTAATCTTGTTTCTCGCGCTCCGAGAGAATTTTGAAAACTGTCTCGCGTCTACGAGGTCCATTCGAGAGATCGAACAATTACAATAATAATATCCTTTTATTATATTATTGTATTCAAACTGATTATTTATTATTATATTGTTGTATTTTATATTCCTTCATTCGTAAGGCATGCGAAGCTTTTTTGGGATGAGTATCGGCTGATGAGAACCGTAGAAATGTATAGAAACATCCGTGAACTGCCGTATCGCGAATACGCCGTGATTTAATCTCGAGAGGTGACGAATTAGAAATAATATTATGTTATCCGCGCGACTCGCCATCGCCGCTCGCCGTCACGAGAACGTAACCATTTAAGGTGGAGCCGGTACCTGGCCACCTCTCTCGATTCATTGTCGGGTTAGGCTCACCTTCGATGATGACGCTTACACGCTCGGCCGTTCGGATTTCACTTGGAAGGTGTTGCCGTCGCAACCAGGAAATTGCGTTCTTTCCTCTTTTACGCTCGCTATCGCGATTTATTGCGCGATCGGCGGAAGATCGTAATATACCTCCAATACTTACGGAAGATAGCGCCGTTTAGTTTAATTATGGAATATTTACTGCGTACTCGACAGGCCCTAATGACACGGAGCTGACGGCGGGCTTTCCGTCGCTTTTTTTATCGTTGAAATAATTGTTCAATGTGCTTCCCGAAGCATAAGACGGCGCTCAATTCTATCATAGCGGCATAATTAATTATTATTAAATCAATTATGAAAAATCACACCAAGCGATAAACATTACCATTATTTCCTCGGAATAATACTACTTTCTCAATCGATCCGTCACATTCAGATGATCTTGTCGAACAACACACGGTTTGCTCTAGTGAAACAATAGCGTTTTCATTGAAACAAAATGATACTTGATATAAAATTATGTTGTTTATATTAGACAAACCCAAATCAAACAAACACGCATACTAAATCCGGAGAAACCCCTTTCTCTGTCTATGTAACATTATTACTTGTTCGTTAAGCTTGAATTATCGAGTTTACTTTCTAATTCAAACAGGCGGACCTTCTATCGCAAATCCTTTTGCAATACACTCGCCGTGCAAACGCTCTTGCGTGTACAAAATCCGTCGCGTTAACGGGGTGATACAATTTTTCCGTGAATCACAAAGTAGCAGCTATCGGTATTCGCTGTTGGTTCAGTTATCTGCCGAATTAATACGTTACGTGAATTATATCCCCCAACCGCCTCTAAGTGATTATCCTCGCGACTCACGTTCTCGCGCGCAATTAACAGCAACATGATGCGCGCCTCGCTCTTGGCAATAACGCGTGACGCGTTGAATTACCAGCGACATGACTCTTAAAAGCGACACTGAAATTCTGTTTATACGTTTAGCCGATAAAGCCTCGCGCATCCCGCCGTTCATGACTCGTAATCGCGGGATTCACGAGCGCGAGCTAAAAAGAAGGGGGAAAAAGCGGGCTTACCTCGTAACTCGCTGCGTGGCGCCTCCTAAGACCGAGCCCTCCTCCTTTAAACTTGGATAAATCTGCAACAAAAGTAAGAGCGCGCGTGTGAATTTTGCATCGTCGTGCAAACTGCAATGCAACGTTCCTCCGTGGAAATTCAAGTGAAGTTAGGAGAGAGAGAGAGAAGAACGCGAGATCCGTTCGAGCTGCCGATATTTTTACCGAGTGAAATATTATCCTCGAAGATAAGCAGTGATGATATAATGACGCAGCAACGTGAGACGCATCAGAACGGAGTATGACTCAATTTCATCGACGACAAATTCAATGGCCGGATCGTCGAAGATTAAGAAGCCATTAACAACAACGGTGGTTGACGCGTCGTCTGCAGAATTCGAGAGAGAGAGAGAGAGAGCAATTCTCCGGGCAGGTGTCGAGACGCGCAAGAGACGGATGAAGGATCGTCCTATCGATCGCGCGGAGCCGATTAAGCTAATTCGCATTATCTGGTTCATCGGCTCGTTTACTCGACCGAAAACCATAGACGCGCCTATTTGTGCCCCGTGAATCGTGATTCCTCCCACGGAAAGTTCGCGGATCCGTCCGCGAACTCCCGAGAATCATTCACGAGGTAATTAAAATCCTCCCCCCGACACGATCGATTTTCCTCGTTCTCGTTATTGTAATTGTTCGGTCTCTCGAATGGACCTCGGAGACGCGAGACAGTTTTCAAAATTCTCTCGGATCGCGAGAAACGAGATCATTCTTGATCTCGCCGTGAGAGAGAATGTCACCGAGAATTTTTCCCGGAAGACGCTCGCGACTCTCTTTTGATATATTTATTGAGAAACGACTTTATACATTGATATATTTTTGTATATATTTACTTTCGAGCTACTTGAAATTATTACAGGAAGTTCCTTGGTACGTAGAGACACCCGCCTCCTCCTTTTCCATCTCCTCGGGAAATATCGAGCAAGCGCAAATTAAATTAAACGCAAATATTTCAACGGCGCACGTGGGGTTGTAACTTGAAAATCGCCTACCTAAACTGTACGCAGTTGGTATCAAATTAACGTTCTCAATATCCCGTTAGCGTTATCCGCCTATAGAATCCCACTTCCGCTCTTATCCCCTCGATAGAAATGTTAAAAGTTGGTGAAATTAGAAACGCACATCCGTTCATACCCGCGGTGAGTAATTTAGGGCCCCGAAGTGTGCCTGCGAACAACTCCCGGGAGTTGATTTGCAAGTGCCAATAATTATCTCCTGAGGCCCTCCCCCCCTCGTTATCTTCCAATTTATTGAAATGGCCCGAGACGGAGGCGGACGAGCAATAAACTCAACGGAAACACGGCTTGGTCCCTGACACTCTTGTCGAAGGATTGCGCAATTCAGGCGGCCATCCTGTGCGAGCCGTTGCATAATACTCTTTGTTATATCCTCGCGGAGAGCGAAAACACGATGGCGTGCGGGAGAGGCGCGAGTAAGCAACGAACTCGATACCGCGGCCGTCTTTTTACGATCGACCTTCGGCCGCGAGATATACTCGGGTAACTCGTTCACGACGCCTTCCGACGCGTTCGCCACGTTCGACAATTTTTTCGCGAATTAATGACCCGGCACGCGCGCACGCGCGCGAAATGTGCGCGAGATTTTACATCCGCGGCCGGTCGCTGCACGGAAGGAAAGAAAAGGTTGGTTTCGAATCTACCGGAAGGTGAACGAGATCGGACGCGTTTCGGCCGGAGGAAACGGAATTTCCCGCTTCTCACGGCTCAAATTCGGTTCTTACAAACAGAAATTCTGGTCGTTGAAATTCGGACGTTCGGCTCGTTCGCTGTCTAGTAAGGTAAAAGCATCCGTGCGGACACGTGTCTAACTCGGGACACATTCTTGTTACCCTGTACAAATATTTCGTGCATTTAAAGATTAAATAGTCGTATTTAAAGAGCCAAACAACAAGAACGCCCACAGTTGGATACGCGTCCAGGCATCGGCTACATTTATCTCAATTCCACCCGACTTTTTTTGCCGCACGCGTGCGTCGCTCAGATCGCTGAGGATTTTCACCTTCGAGCAGATTTCGTCGTGCATATTCATAAGAACGCGGAAGATTCGCAGGAGACGTCGAGGGGAATTTAGAAAACGACGGATACCGCGCGTCAATTTTAATCTGTCGAGTTATAGAAAGGACAGGAGAGTCATCCCGATGTGTGTGCACAGGTAGATAGGATGAAGACGATATTTCGAGCGGCGGGTTCCGATCGATTCGATCTCGCCCCGTGCCGGGAAAAGGGAACAAAGTGTCCTTCGGAATCGGTGCATAGCGAGGAAGGTCGCTCGCTTCACGCCACGATGACTTCGGCGGTTCGAGCCGGGCGCGAACTTTGAGCAAACATCATTTCTCGCCAATTCCGTCCACATTCGAGAGCGGGAGATGCGATTTCCCTTTTTAACTCATCGCTGCCGTGCGTGACACGTGTTTTTGCGCTTCCCTCCCGGAAGGGGGAGAGGGGGGGGGGAGTATCGCAATTCCGCAAAAAGGAAAGGGAAGACGATGAGATCGAATGACGAGTTCGTTAACTGCATACCGGGAACGTCCATGTGTGCGGAATATACTGAAGGACCTTTCTTCGATTTTTTCCCCCGTTCGATTGCAAAGTTGCCGAGTGCAGTTTTCCGACACGCTCCGCAAGTCACTTCGACACTGCGACGCGGCGATTCCATCTCGAGACTCAGCGGAGTCGACGACGACGACGACGTTGCGAAACGGAGCGATGAATTAAAACCCGACCCGTAACGGGCTAATCGCGAACAAACTAGCTCAGGGCCGATATAACTTTAGCGTAATACGCACACGTTGTGATCACCGTGGCGAATAATAGCTCGTTAATGAGATTAGCGGGATGAGAGAGAGAGAACAACAGCATCCTGGCGCATCGATCTCTCGCGCGCTACAGCGTACACGACGATATCGCCGTACGTCCGCTGTACGTGCGTCCACGTGCAGCCCCCGTACGTATGAACAGCCCTTTGGAAATCGTACACGTGTCGCGCGGGCGCGGTTTACATTGCAAATTCGTCGGGGAACTTCTCGCGCGGGCGGGCGACACACCGTTGCCGGCGTCGTCGGCGCAAAAGTTATTTTACCGATTAAATTACGACCCTGCGGGAACCGGTCGCCGTTGGTCCGGAAGCATTGTTTCAGCTAGCGTCGCTGCGAAACACATCCGAGTCTCACGGGAACGTCTCCGACTGCCCCCCCCCCC